ACTGCTTTAAGAGATGGGAAAACTCCTTTATGTCAAAGCCCCTTCATCCTAGAGGCTCCAAAAATAGAAGGCAAACTTTCAATAAAGTGTCATTTCCCTGAGTACATGCAGAGTCTTCTGAGAAAAAGAGCCTTTTCTAGGGCCTGGGGATATAGCTCATTGGTAGAATGCTTGCCCAGCACATGGTTAAGGCCCTGGGTTCAATTTCCGTTAATACACACACACACACACACACACACACACACACACACACACACACACACACACACACAAATAGCCCTTTTCAATTAAGCTGACAGAAATGAGAGAAAATTTCCTGCTATAGAAAGAGATAAACTGGCTAACATTAGCTTTATAGCTTTTTAGGCTTGCCAGTTTAGACATGACACAATGAGTAAACCTAAAAATCACTGGTATTTTCAAAATGAAAGCAATCTTTTCCTTTTATGTTGAAGGGAAACAAGTAAAGTGCTATATATACACATACTACCTTTTTTTTTTTAATATTTTATTTTTTAGTTTTCGGCAGACACAACATCTTTGTTTGTATGTGGTGCTGAGGATCGAACCCAGGCCGCACCCATGCCAGGCGAGCGCGCTACTGCTTGAGCCACATCCCCAGCCCTACTACCTTAACTTGATATGCATCATTTTTTTACTTATCCTACTATCCACCTTTCACACTCCTTTAAAAAAAAAATAGCTAAGGTTTTTTTTTTTTTTTTTGGGGGGGGTGCCAGGGATTGAACACAGAAGTGACTCAGCAGAGTCACATCCCCAGCCTATTATAGTTTTGAGACAGGGCCTTGCTAAGTTGCTACGGTTGGCTTTGAACTTGCAATTATCTTGCCTCAGCCTCCTGAGCTTCTGGGATTACAGGTGTATACCATTGCAGTTGGCAATGAAGGGCCTTTTTGATGTAACTCTGCTTGTCTAATTTTCTATCTTTTCCCACACCAACCAGCTCTCAATAATATGAACAATGTATACACACCAGAATGCACTATACACAAAAAAGGCCAAAACACTTTGTATAAATGGGCATTTTAAAATATGCATTTGTATATATATGTGCACATATAATATAGAATATACATGCATAATCAAAAGATGAGGCCATAGACTGAAGCAGGAGCCCACCTCTGAATGTAGTTTAAGTTACCAGCAAAATCGAACAAGGGCCAGCAAATATAGACTAGGGTGCTAAAGAGAAAACTACTTTTCACAGGGCAAGAAAAAGGCAAAAATTTAGGATGATTACTGGCTCCAAAATACTACCATCAGTCTCATTTAAGACTTAAAAAAAAAAACATCTTTAAGTCTATGAAACAATAAAATTCTAAAAAGGAAGCAAATTAAGACTACCAAGTCATAACTACATATGTAAATACTAGACTTCAGGTAAAATCTTAATTTAAAATCTTCTTTGCTATAAATGAGGACCTTATACTGAGCTAATACTCTCGGGGATTGATCTGATTTTTACATTTGCTCATCTTTGGAATGAGCAAACTCTTATTTAAAAATTTATAGATGCTGGGTATCATGGCACATGACTGTAATCCTAGGGGCTCAGGAGACTGGGGCAGGAGGATAGAAAGTTGGAAGCCAACCTCAGCAATTTTGAGACTCTGTCTCAAAATAAAAACATAAAAAGGGCTGAGGATGTGGCTCAGTGATTTAGCATCCCTGATTCAATTCCTGGTACCAAAAAAAGGGCGATGATGTCTCCACAAATTGGTTCCAAGACTCCTGATGGATGCCCAAACTGGAGGATGCATATTTGCATATAAGCTACATACATCTTCCTGTACAGTTTAAATCATTCCGAGATTTACTTACAATACCTAATACAATGCAAACACCGAGTAAATAGTTGTTACACTGCATTTTTAAAAGAATGACAAGAGTCTCTAATTACACATGCAATCCCCCCACCCAACAATTTTTAATCTGAAGTTGGTTCAATCTACAGACATGAAAACTGTGGATACACAGGAGCAAGTGTCCTTAAAAAATTAGTGTGGCAAATCCTGTTCTGGAGAATTACCCAGGTTTCTAAGTAAATGCCCATATCCCAATTTGGAGGATGAGAAAAATAATCCAAGTGGATGACTTAAGAATGGGGGACAAGTTGATGAAGTACTAAGCACCACACAATCTTTTATGTAAATACAGTTTCCTTTTATATGGCAAAATAGAAATGCCAACACCTAATATACCCCTTCATAAATAAATCATAATGAAAACTAAAACATTGTAAATCTTTATTGATGTACCATCAGAATTCAAATAGGGATTTTTTTTCTAGTTTTTCACATATATATCCATGCTCAGCATTTAGGTGCTCTGGTAGCTATGCCAGTCATCATTTTAAAACAGCTATTTTGCAGCATGACTAATACTTTAAAGTATTCTGTTATGGAGAGTTATAGGTAATAATCAATCACAATTTTTTTTTTTTGAGATCTCTAAGGCAATATTTGCTGTAAGTTGGGTTTGGTCATCACAGTGTAGAATAGTGTGATCTAGGTATGGGGGAAGAGTCCCAAAAGTGCAGTATGATTCCCATATAGGTTTGGCAACACTTGTTTCCTACATGTCACTTGATAAAAACTACCAAAATCTTTAAAAGTTGCTATATCTTTAGTCATTCACTAGTAAATACTTTGGGGCACAGACTATGTGCCAGGTACTTTGAGTATACTTGGCAAAGTTTTAATTTCAGTTTTCTTTGATTTCAAATTATTAACTGAGTTTGATACAGAGAAAAATACTGAAATGGAAGCGGATTCCCATGTCCTAAAATTGACTGCAAAGTCATTATAGTAACCTCTGTGGATAATCTTCATTAGATAGTATTTTAAAGTCCCTTTCAACCTAAGTAACTCTGCAATTATCTTGAAACCATTTTATTTATTGTACTCTCACCAATAAGTCAGACAGTAGCCAGGCACAGTGGCCCACACCTGTAATCCCAGCAGCTAGGGAGACGGAGTCAGGAAGACTGAGAGTTCAAAGCCAGCCTCACCAAAAGCATGGCACTAAGCAACTCAGCGAAACCCTGTCTCTAAATAAAATACAAAAAAGGCTGGGGATATGGCTCAGTGGTTGAGTGCAGAGGCACTCAATCGCCGGTAATACCACCTCCACCTCCCCAAAAAAGCCATTTTTGTACCTTTCACTAAGATTCTAGCCCATTTACTATTCCCAAATTTAAGAATGAGTCATGTTTTGAAAAACTAAATTGGTTGACAGTTAGAAGGCAGTATTAGTAGCTGGTAAGGCACCATGCAGTTATGGAGCCTACTTGTTATTAACAGGATATAATTTTCTATAGTTCATTTTTAAGATTTCCTCCTTTGGCTCAAACTTTGGAAAGATAATTATAACAAAGACTAAGTTCTAAAGTATTTTTAATTTTCATATCTAACCATAAATTCAGTAATTCAGTTTTCTAAGCCAGCTCCAAAATCTGGTCTGTGACAATCTAGTCTGTATTGAAAAAAGAGAAAAAAAGCTAATGTAGCATTTTTTCCCCATAAAGCTAAATTTTACTTCTACATTCTTTTTATACATTTACTTATTTTTATGTGGTGAGGAGGATTGAACCCAGAGCCTCACATGTGCTAAGCAAGTGCTCTAAGTTATAGCTCTAACCCAACTTCTAAATTATCAATTCTAAAATTTTCCAAATTTGTGTGAAAATATTCATGAAATATTTATATATACACACAATACACAAGCCAATTATTTTGTTTACTAATTTAAACAAAAAGCTAAGAATGATGATGGTCCCAACACTTTTAAAAAACCGACTCTGAAACAAAAATGTTTGGTCAATACTGCCTTAGCTAAAGTGATTGTCAGGTAATCTTTAACTTTACTTTGACCATCTGTAGTAGTAGATTGCCTTATTCCTCCTCCCAAACAACCCAAATTTTTCATCTTTCGATAATCTTAAAAAACTGCTTGGGGCTGGGTTGTGGCTAAAGTGGTGGAGCGTGTACCTAGCACACATGAGGCACTGAGTTCGACCTTAGCAAGACATAAAAATAAAGATTGTGTCCACCTAAAACTAAAAAAAAAAATATTTTAAAAAAAACTGCTTAATGCTGGGCATGGGGGTATATGACTAATTCTGACTGGGGAGGTTGAGTGAGGCAGGACCACCAAATTTGAGGCCATCCTAATCAAGCTAGTAAAGCCCTGTCTCAAAACAAAAAAGACTGATGATATACCTGAAATCAGCAACCTGGGTTCAATCTCCAGTACTACAACTAAGAATAAATAATAAAAACTACTTCTTAATCTTGAGCCATGCTATCCTAATCATTAATTTTTGGAACCACACAGAATGTGTTTTGACACACATCCCACCCCATACTTTTATCATTAACCTAAATCCCTACCATTTTCTATTTTAAGATAGGTTGGCCTTGAACTTGGAATCCTCCTGCCTCAGCCTCCTTAGTAACTGATTACAAGCTTGTGCTAGCATGTCTGGCTCACTACAATAAATCTTAATAATTCTGTTACACAACAGTTTTTTAGATGTTTAAAGATAACTTGCTATTATATGCTATGTACCACCCCAACCTCCTGTTTACTTTGCCCTTCTCCAAACTAAACTGAAGTTCACTTTAATAAAATCAGAGTATCTAACCATTCTATGATTTACTTTGCTCTGCTATTAAAAAAAACTAAGAAAATTATTTAAGTATATTCTCTCTACATTAACAATGTTTTAAAGGCTTGATATTTATATTATATATTTACTTGTAATCCATTGGTCCAATATTCAGTAAATATGGAATAAAGCAGCTCATTTTTGCTTTTTAACCCATTTCCCCCAAGTTTATGCACAAATTATAAGGTAATTATATTTTTTAGATATTTACTAAAACCTGTAGCTAGTCCTTAAATAAAGATGAGACATATACTTAATACACAAATAACTGCTATTAATTAATTAAAGCAACTCTCTGAGGACTAGGAGGTAGTTTGAGTCATTTATGTACTTTCATATAAAAACATACAAATAAATAAACCCCTCATAATATTCTACAATTCAAATTTGTAAAACTTAAAAACAAGAGATTTCCAAATTACACATAAGTCAAAGTTTCCAAAAGTGTTCCCCTTGTCCCAATTAGTCTAAATTTATACAAAGAAATTCGAATTAAATGCCAGAGTCAATAAAATTCACAAAGCCAGATGCAGTTTAGTGCTCACAAGTTTATATTTTTAGGTTTGATAAAGATTCTTGTGTATTTTCTAAATACACAAACAAAACAGTCTTGGAAGTTACATACATGTCTTAGGACACTTATATTAGGTAGGTAAATTACATTTTTAAAAAATTGGTCTTCGTAAAAGATCTTCCCAGAGAGCTTTTACAAACAGCAGGCAGAAGAAAGTGTTCTGTGTTTACAGTGTTTAAAATGCTGATTCTCCCATTTGATAATGGCCTCAACCATCTCTCTCCTCAACCCAGAATCTTGTTCTCACTGGCTAGTGTACTCTAACTTTAAAGTACACAATGTCATAAAATTCAGGGCTAGAAAACATCTTTACGTGTGCTTATCCCTAACACATTTCATACTACTTAGGATTGTTCAACTTCACTTGAACGCAGGGATACAGCAGGAAAACAAAAAACTTTATCCTAAAGTGACTAAGAAAATGCCTGTTTGTAGTTCTAAGTGTGTATATTATGTACCATAGTTAAGTTTAAGGATCCGGGTGACTGAACGGCACAAAAACTGGGGCTCAAATCTAGTTTGTCAGATTAAAAAATCATTTTTTTTTAAAAATGAAAATGCCACAGCCCACTAATAATATATGCTACACTGAGGTTGTGTGTCTTATTTAAGTCATAGTGACTAAACAATTGCTTTATCAGGAGGAAAGAGTAGTAAGGATGCTTATTGGCGGGAGGAGGGATACTCACAAAATTCCTAACATAGCTATTTTGTAGGGAAAATATAAATCTCCATAGACTCCATTAAAGAGCTGGAATTCTACAAATAAGTTGTTTAATGAGGCAGCAATAGAGCCTCCCAGAAAGAGCTTGGGCTTCAGAATCAGACCTGATCAAATCCCAGCTCTTATTATAGCTGCGTTAAATTTCTGAATTTCTGAGCCTTTCCTTATCTATAAAATGGAGACAATAGCACCTACTTTATAGGGATTACACAAAATAATGTATACAGAACAATGGCAAGTGTGGGCACTCAAAAGAAACTGGTAGCTTTTGGAATCTTATTCAGAAAAATGAATTTAAACCTTTCATGCTATGTTCACAAAACCCTACAAACAAAAGCTTATTAAAGCTTTAAATTTTAAGATTTGTTTTTAAAATCTATTTTTCATCACACTATTCCCCATATTATACTACTCCAGTCATCTTCAGGCCTTTTATACTAAATCATACTAATGAATTTCCAAATCCTAATCCTTTATTTTCCTCCTTTCTACCATATTTTATTTCTATTTTTCCTCTTGGTTCACATCTATTGTTAAACTGAAATGTATTATGTACTAGTAAGTTCCAGTGTTCTAAAAACTTTAAATGAATTAACTCATTCAGCTCACTATTCTCCATTAGGATGACTCAACTTTGACCAGCTAGAGCTCCCTCTATCACAAATTTCAAAGATACTCCTTTACTGTCCAGTTTCCTCTTCCTACTATGTTTCTTTTTTAAACTCAATTGCTTACTAAAATTCAGAAAATTATCTAGTGAATTAAAAAAAAAAAAAAACCAAGGGCCAAGAACCATGACAAAGAGGAGACCATATGGAAGTAACTGTCTCAGAATCCTAAGAAATATAAGATCTTGACTTGAGAGGGCCTGTTACTAAAGTAAATATGAAAGTTTAAACTCTTCCCCTTCATTAAAATTAAAAGCTCTAAAATATTTTTTATTTAAAATATAAATTACGAGAAAACTTCACCAAATGTTTAACATATAATTCTGCCAGAGTTCCAGACAAAATTATGAGTATTCATTTCATTGTTACCTCAAGACCAATCATAAGTTCTTAGTATCTATTAACTTCCTGAAATTGTTGTACTGTAAGTCAGAAAAAGAATATACTTAAAAAAATAGAAACGTCCAGTAGTATACCTTAGTACTAAAACTATTTTTTAAAAAAGATCTAGAAGGGAAAAAGGCAGTCCCTCGAGATCATGAAACATAATAAGTTAGGCAGACGGCAAGTAGAAAAATCTGTCAATTTTGTTTCTGGTAAAATGTTTACTTCAAAGAAATTTTTATATAGGCTGAGGCTAATATATTCAAGAGTATAAACATTTTTCCTTTGGATTACCTAAAAACAAACTTTTAAAGTATCATATTTCAGATGACTAAAAATATAGCCAAATCTGGCACAACACAACATTGAAGGAAATGGACAATTAGAATATTTTAAATTAACATTAACAAACCATCTACATCAAACCTTGTTTCCAACTAAAACCAAAACAAATGCACAACAATCCCGTAGTGTACCACATATGTATTTCAATTTACTGTATGCAATCTAACAAAAAATTTGGTCATAATTTACCAGATATACATAAATGATTTAAGTAATAAAAGAAAATTCAGTTTCAAGAGAATAAGTTCATATCTTGAGGAAAAGTAAAAGTACATTAAGAATGTAAAGCCAAGTCCAGTTTCTATGCAATAAGTGAACTATAGTCTAATAAAGCAGACTTAGGTGATTTTTTTTTAGATATATATCTTTGCTCTTTAATATATATTTATATATAGACAGATCTACCAATTGTAAACTATGGTTTATTTTAAAGGAAGGGGATAAATGGGATGAAAGAAATCTTTATACTATACTTACATTATTCACAAAGCAGAACATTTTACGCTTAAAATACTTTTTCATTCATAGTATCTTTGCCCAACTAATTTCTACTTTGGACCTCACTAGAATTACATTTTACTTATTTGTCTAGAACACTGAGAATAAGATGTACTCTTCAGTTTTAAACAAACAAACAAAAAATCAAACCAAAACTGTTCATTTGTCAGGCTTATAATTATGTAGAAACTATAATAAAGTTTAGATGACAAAAAGTTAGTTACCATGTAACTAACCTTTTATTTCTGATTTACCCAAGCAGAAACATCACTAACATTAAACCATTATTCTACTGAAATCAGAGACAATGAGAAAGCTTGTCTCTTAAAAAAAAAAAAAATCAATTTTTCAACTTTGATTAGATGGAGCACCAAAAGAATTTATCTGTCAAAGCATCTTTGCAAAAATTTTCATACAGCTAACATAATTTAGTTACCTGATATAAAATAGGAAAATATACTCAATTTTTATTTAAAAGAAAGCTGAAAATGATGTCACTCAATCTTATATATTATGCTCCTGATAAATGTCCACATTAATAATAGGTGAAATGTTTCTGAGACTTCCACATATAGCAATTCATTCATCACCAGGCTAAATAATCTAATAATTACAACTTAATATATCACCTCCTTTGTACCCTAAAGATCTTAATAAAGCCTCTCAACATTTTATTTATAAAATAAAGACATTTGTAGATTGTTGAATCATGGTGACTAGTAAGACTATATTCAAGGTGTATGGAAAAATAAATTAATCATAATTTCGAAACACTCAATATCCGGTAAGTATGAAACAAAAGAGAATGAACATTTTGCGTTAATTTTAATGATAAAGAGGGCACAGGAGTAAAAACCTGATATTTCACTTATATTGCATAACAAGCTAACCAAACTGGACATGGAGGATAAATTATAAAACAAATCATTTTACTTATTGTTTCTATGACTTTTTTTGATCAGATTTCTGTCTTTCAAATAAGGCTGAGGTATAGTACACTGGCAAAAATAATAAGAGGCAAACAAGAATAGTGCCAAAGTAACAGATACCCAAAACCAAATACCATGTCAGAAAACGTCATATAGTAACCATTTATCAGATTAGAGCAGCAGGAGAAAGTTACTTATAAATCATAATCATTTTAGTGGTATTTGTCAACTTCACCATGGTAACTCTGCAACATCATTCTTCATTTGTGAAGTAGTAAAATTCATGTCAAAAAAAGGAAAGAAGGGTTGGGGGAAGTCAGTTCATTCCAAATAAATTACCTCTCCAGTTCTTATAAACATGCCCATCAGCACAAAATTGAGAAATACCTAAGACTAGAAGAGACTTGGTTTAAGTTATGAAGCAAATTAAAATGGAAAAATACAAGAAAATAGAACCATTGGGGTTGAAAAAGCCCCTCACTGAAAATCTGTATTAAAAAAAATAAAATTAATAAAAATAAAAATAGAAACAAAACTCTACTAGTACAAACTAGCCTGAGTGGTTTGATGGACAAAGTGATTGGGTCAACTGTCACTGTATTTCCATAAATGGATTTTCTTCACTCATGTTAAAGTGGCACATGAATGTAAGCTCTATTAAGGATAGGTACTATATTTTCATAGTACCCAAATAGTTACTGTATATCCTATAAATAAAAAATATTTTACTTTGTTAACTGAATATGTGGGGACTCCATGTAATCCAACCACATGGTTGTTTGCTGTATAGTCCTGTGCAAATATAATTTTTTTTTTTTTTTGCTATAAGGCTTTGACCCTACAGTTTTCACAGCAACATAACTACCATCCAGCATGTACCATATTTTGCAAGCCTTCAAGTTCAACAATCCAAATTGTCGATTCATATGTCCAAATGCAGCATCCTTGAGGAGTATAGTAGCAGGTCAGTTAATTATCCAGAGACATACAGACATCTCCTGATTCATCCCATCTAGATGGATCATTCTGATCTTCTCCATCATCAACCAGCTCTTCATCAGCTTCTCCTACTTCATTCTCCTCATACTCTTCATCCCGAGGGAATTCTGTATCCTGCCCCTGATCTACACCTTCTTGCCCTCCTGGTTGTGATTTATCTGCACAGTCTACACAAACACCATAGCGTCGAGATCCATGTCTTATTCCAACACTGGCTGCTAACATGAAGATCTTCTTACACACCATACATTTGTATTTTTTATCCTTTTTATGCACCTAATTAAAGGGGGGGAAAAATCCAATATAAGGATAGTATAGAAATAGAAAGCATTTGAACCACTCAAATCATGCATTTAATAATGAGTGAATATACCAATGTTTTTCTGTATGAAGATGAGCATCAGTTCACATAAATTGCTTTAAAGAAAGAAATGATTTAAAAATCATCCTTAAATTTGTAAGTAACTGTTAAAATACTTTAAATATCACTGACATAACTATATTTTATCTCAAAGATCAGTTGTATTTAAAATTACTTACCAGGGAATGTCTTTTTACATGTTCTCTCCGTGTAAACAGCTTTCCACAAATGTCACAGCTAAATGATCTCACTCCCGTATGAATGAGCAAGTGCCTTTTTAGTGTTCGTCTGTATTTGGCTACATAGCTACAATGAGGGCATTTTAATTTGTTCATGATTAGAGATGATTCACCTTTAAGAATTAAGAAAAAAAATTTAAAGAGCACTCATTATATATTATTAAACAGAAGACTTGCTATCAAAATTTCTTCTATCTGTATCTCTAAAACAGTAAATGATATAGGGCTATTGCTAAAGCCTAGAATATGGAAGATTTTAATGTTTAAAAATTCTTTAGGAATTCTGAATTTGTTTGATTGACCAATACTTGCCATTTTCCCAAGTTTCTTGTTTTGGCCACGATTCTGGCAATAATCCATACTTGAAATCATTTGAAGCACCTGGTAGCAATCCATACTTGAAATCATTTGAAGTACCTGGTATTAATCCATACTTGAAATCACTTGATGGACCAGGCATCAAACCATACTTGAAATCATGTGAAGTACCTAATACAATAGAAAAGTGAGCTTGAAGTAATGATGGCAGTAAAGATCTCTTTCATCAGTCAGAAAATGAAATACAATCTATAGCCTATGAGCAGTGATAGAACATCTTAATATAAACTAGCTGACTAAAAATACCCAAGTCCCCAGAACTGTGAGCTAACTAAATCTTTTCTTTATAAAATACCCCAATCTCTGGTGCTTTGTTATAGGAACTGAAAATGGATTAACACGGGCAGGAATTACCTTCTTCTAGATTTAATTCCATCAGGAATTTGTATGTAACTCCTTGAATCCAAGAATCTTTGAACAACAGAAATATATCCAGAATCCTCCAGTTATTGCCACTCAGGTCCAATCAACCATCAATTCTAGCCTCTGGAGTTATTTTCTTTTTTTAATAAATTTTATTTGTCTGGGGTTATTTTCAATGACTGCCAACTAGTCTCCTGGCTTCCACTATTACCATTCCAGAGAGTTTACTCTGCCTGGTAATCACAGATTCTTTTAAAACCTGTCACCAGTCTACTCAAAAGCCTTCAAGGGCTATACACCTCAATTCATGTTAAAAAGTCAAAAAGGACCTCCACTATTCTTCAAAGTCTTATCCCTGCACCATGCCCTTTATCATAAATTTCAACCATACCAGCCTCAGTGTTCCTCCGTGGCAAACAGGCTCCTACTTAAGGCATTTACACTTTCATCTTCTAAGATATATATATGCATAGCTCATTCATGCAGCAACACAGGATGAGTATCCCTAATCTGAAAACCTGTCCTATCAGAAATGTTCCCAAACCCAAAATCTTGAGCACCAACATAATGCTCAAAAGTTTCAGATTTGGGAGCATTTTGGATTTTCAGATTAAAGTTGATAACCAGTAAAGTCTAAGCAAATACTCAAAAACTCCAACATCTTAAACATTGATTCCAATCATTCAGTTTAAGGGATATTCAGTATGCAATAAAATTTTCTATAATGAATGCCACATGGTTTTGACTAAAAAAAAAGAAGAAAGAAATGCTACCATATTATAACCAGACACGTCACCTCTCTTAAAATGTCTCTTTGGTGAAACAATCAATACCAAAAGAAGTAAAAAGGTCTCTAAAATATTGTTAAATATACTTCGTTACTACCAAATGTTTTTTTTTCCTTGGATATAGTTCACCCACTTTTTAAAAATATATTTTTTAGTTGTAGATGAACACAATACCTTTATTTTGTTTCTTTATTTTTATGTGGTGCTGAGGAGAGAACCTAGTGCCTCCCCCTATTTCACCCATTTTTTGATGTCAAGAAAGCCCTCCAGGGGGTCTGGGGCTGTGGTTCAGTGGTAGTGCACTTGCCTTGCATGTGTGAGGCACTGGGTTAGATTTCCAGCACTATGTATAAATAAATAAAATAAAGGTCTACTAACAACTAAAAAAAATTAAAAAGAAAGCCCTCCAAGGGGAACACTTACTTGCCTCACATTTTTAAGATACTGGGTTCAAACCTTAGCACCACATTAAAAAAATAAAATAAAAACAAAATAAAGGTATTTTGTCTAAAACTATTAAATATAAATAAAGGTATTGTGTCTACAACTAAAAATATAAAGAAAGAAAGAAAGATCTCTAAGAGATCGGAGGAAAAGAACAAGAGGGAGGGAAAGAGAAAATATTGGGAAACAATAGTGGTCAAATTACAGCATGTGCATATATGAATGTGCAACAATAAATCCCACCCTTAAATAATTATAACCAACCAATTAAAAAATATGGAAAAAGAAAGGCCCCACTTTTGAGCTGCATTGAGGCCACAGATGACACAAGCATATGCTCCCTTTTAAGCTACAAAGGCAAAGAGGTTATGAGGGGAAATTTTTTTTTTTAAAAAAAAGGCCTCTGAAACTATAATTATATATAATTTAACTTTAATGTACTACTATTAGGGAGAAAGTTTTCAGAATTTTGAAGTGAGGCAGCAGTGAGAGCACAATCAATTTTAAGTTCCATGTTTCTAAATAAAATTGGGGCTCCAGGAAGTTTTTCTCTCCTTTATATATCTAATGTGCAAAATATATGCTCTCCAATTATTTGTTGAAAAGTTAATATATTTAGCATTTTTGACTCCTCCAAAATACCTGGAAAACTACTGTCAGAAATCTTAGCTTTTTAGAATTCTGAATCAAGAAAGCAAGTGCAATAAAATACTCTTGATAAATATTAACTATTGTCTATACAAGTAAAGAAAATCTTTAAAAAAGTAATATCACTAACTCCCATATTACTAATTTCAAAACTTTTAAAATACTTTTCAACAATCAGGGGAAACCACCTTGAGAAAATGTCTTCAAAACCACTGACTTAATTTTGTACAGTGTATACTGTGTGTAGAGCCTCCTAACTACTTTGTTTATAGATTTCCCTTAGATGTCCTCTCATTCCCATCAACTTTGAAAAGGATTCCAAAAATACAGAAGTTGAATAATTAAAGTTGAATAATTAAACATCCATAACCCTTTATACCTTTAATAATTTTAACTTTGCCATGTTTTTTGTGTGTATACAGACATTTTTATACACTTTTAAAACTTGTACTTTGTTATGGTTTAGATAAGAGGTGTCCCCCCACCAAAAGGTCACATGTGAGACAATGCAAGAAAGTTTAGAGGTGAAATGACTGGGTTATATGAGACTTTTAACCTAACCAGTGCATTAATCCCCTGATACAGACTAAATGGGGGTAAATGCAGGCAGACAGGGTATGGATGGAGGAGGTAAGGCATTGGGGTATTCCTTTGGGGTATATATTTTGTCCTTGATGAAAGAAGTTTCTCTCTTGCTTCCTGGTGCCAGGCTCCCAGCTGCTTTCCTCCACCATACACCTCCACCACAATGTTCTGCCTCACCTTAGACCTCAAAGGGTAAAGTTGGCTATCTATCAACTGAGATCTCTGATCTGAGAGACCCAAATAAATGTTTCTTCCTCCAAAATTATTGTTTTCAGGATTTTTAGTCACAGTGGTCAAAAAGCTCATGAAAACATACTTTAAATATAGACTATTTACACTATTCCCCTGCAAAACCATAGCACATCCAAGAAATTTAAAACTGAATATTGTTAACACATACCACATAGCCCACATTTCCAACTGTTCCCCAAATGCCATCCCCTTTAAATCCTATTTGATCCTAATCTATCCAAGACACATACTGCATATTTAGCTGGTCTCCTTTAATCTAGTGATTCCTCAGCTTGTATTTCATGACATGATAGAGTTTGGGCCACCTGCTATGTGGCTGGATTTACTTAGATTTTTCTGACTATTTCCTTCACAATTATATTCAGGATAAATACATTTCAAGACTACTACACAGGTTATGTTGTGTGACAGCTAGTGCAATGCATCAGCTCAATTTGTTTGTTCCATTGTTAACAGTATTAATAATAGTTTTAATAGTTGCTTTTATTATTCTGTTCCCTGGATCTCTCTTCTCCTTTGAAATTAGAAGAAATATGTGGGATGAGTTTGAGATGATGTGAATATGTTGTTTCCTAACAATCTTTCACCCAATCATAGTGGGACAAGCCCATTAATAGTGGCTTAACATCCACTGATGATCTTAAATCATTTCTATTGGAATCAATAAACAGGTATTTCTCTAACTTGATCATTCTTCTACTAGCTTTACTAGTTAACAGAGAAACCCATTTATTTTAATTCTATTTTACTAGTAACATAATCATGGAATCTTTGTATGCATTAAGTATCCCAAGTATTCCCAATACAAATATTGCTACTTAGAATTAATCAACATTTTCTATAACCATCAACAATCATACTATTACATTTGCATCAAAAAGAATTAAAATACATTAGAGTACCAGTCTGGTAATTATTATTCCATTTATTCACTAGCAGGAAGCCATATTTTCTTTGATATTTGCGTTTTAAAAACTCTAAATGAGCCCCCCAAACAAAACCAGAAACATCAATTTGTATTACCAAATTTCCAAAGTCCTCATAAGCAATATTACCACAGACTGAAAGTAATTTTACACTTAGGGGAAAGAAACTGTAGTAGACCCCAGTAAACACAAACACAAACACTTCCCATACCCTCCTAAATGCACTCTTGCTAAAAATTTAACTGTACCTACCAGCATCACCTCCATCTTGACCAGAGCAGGCTTCAGCCAATAAATTTGCATTCATATTCCTATCACCATCAGGCCCTGAGAGTAGAGCACCATCCAAATCTGAAAATAACATGTAGGATATTACTGACAAGTCACACCATAGCCTCTATCCAAAATACCACTTTCTTAGAAATGATTTTTATGCAGACTAAATAAAAGGATCATCTGCAAGTATTGGTTATGTACTATGTACTGAACACAATAAGGCACAGAAGACAAATCGGAAGAAAACAAAGTTAAGTTCCAGGACAGCGAGAACTGTTCATTTCTTATTGCTGTCTTTCTAAATGCTCTCCAAATCACTTGTTCAACAAATGCTAACATGTTCCTGATATTTTTTACTTAAAGTACTTGGAAAACTATGTGAAAAATCATGTTAGATGTACTAAATTTAATTAAATATTACTCAATATGAATGAGGAAATAGAATAATATACCTGAATAATTTATGAACTGATAATTTTTAAGATTTAGATGTGGTTCTCAACCACAAGAACACGCAAATAGTAAGTACAGAATACTGATTAGGAATAGCTTTAGAGTCAAGGTCAATTAGGTGCCAATCCTAACTGTTATTGCCTACCTGACCACTTGCCTCAGTTTCCTCATTTAAATCCACAGTATCATAAATTTTATATAGGAATTTAACTGGATAATAATGCAAGCCAAATATTATTATAATAGTGCCTGACATCCAAAAAGATACCTGTTATTGCTTATACCAAGAAGTAAAAAATATGAAGACAGACTGGTGTTTCTCTAATGGTTCAAAAGTGGAAGAGGTAAATTAAAGCTAGAATGGTAGATAATGACTTCTTTTTTGAAGTATTCTTAAGAACTAATCTTAATATATGGAAAGGATTGGTTATAGGATTGTAAAGGAAAAAAAGGGATGTTAATGAAATGAATACTTCTGGTTGCAAATCTATGAAATTTCCTGCAAATCTGTTCAATTCCACTACCTTCAGTACTTTGCTGGTTTAGTCAACTAGTGAAATGAGTTTCTGGCTTCCTTTCTTCCAAATTATAAATGTTCACACTTCTTCTAATTTCCTAATATTTCTTGTTCTAAAACATTTTTGATGGCTCACCAGAGATTTTAGGATGAACTTCAGACTTTTTAGTGTGGATTAATATTTAGTTTTCTGATTCTGCTCTAGCATCATACCAACTATCCCAAACTCTCCTCTATTTTTAAAAATGCTTAGATGTGGGAAGACATTTTTAAAATGTCCCTGTGAACGATCTCCCCTATACTTCCCAATAAAGATTCATTTATCTTTGTTATCAACCATCCTTGATGGTCTGCATGCAAGTTTAAACAATGAAACGAATATTTGAAAAACCTCTTACCTAAGTAGGTACTTATTCAAAAATATTTACAGTGGGCAAATAAATTACTGCATATTCTTACAATGAAGCACTACACAGCAATGGTTCTAGTGTATAATTATGAAGTCCAAAATCACCAAATTTCATTCTGAAATACTGAGAGGTTAGTAGGATTGCATGATTGTAAAAAAAAAAAAAAAAAAAAAAAGCATAAAATGATGGTCAAGCATGTGTAACTGATTGTATAGATCCTTACAGTCTACGGTAAGCATTTTAAAAAATTTTTAAATAGGAAGTTAACTCATTTGCCTTAAAAAAAATGAGTTAACAGCACAAGTCCATAGCTCCTATGCCTCAGAAGGCTGAGGCAGGAGAACATTAAGTTTAAAGACAGCATGGGCATCTTAGACTCTGTCTCAAAACAAAACAAAAGGGTTGGGAGTTAACTCAGTGGTAGAGTACAGCTTGGGTCAACCCAAGCATTGCAGGGGTGGGGAGTATAACTCAGTGGTACAGTGCTTGCCTAGCACATAGGAGATCATAGTTTGGATCCTCTGGCAACACGCAACACACACAGTGCATGTAATATGACTTGTTACAAATTAAAGGAGGGCAAATACATTAAAAGGAGATCAGTAAGGAAGCTATTTTAGCAACCCAGGTGAGAGATGAGAATGGTAAAGGAAAAAAGTGGATGAATTTGACACTTGTATAGGTAATACTGGGCTTGGCAGCAGACTGAATATTGGGGTGAGAGGTCAGTTCCAGGGAAATTTCGAGTATATACCAATGGTAGCCAAGGAACCCTAGGAGGGGGAGGGGAAGATAATCAATGTTAACCATGAACATATTAAAATCTGACATACCTACAAAGTGGAATTATGTTTGGGATAAGGGTGGTGAATTAAAGGGGTAAGCCTGGGATTGGATCCCAACTGTGAAAGAACTCATTTCTCTAACTCAGTGGTTCTCAAAGTCTCTAAATCAGCATCATCAGAAATCTGCTGGAAGTACAATTTATAATTTAGGCCTCATTCTAGACCTACTAAAATCACATACTTTAGAGGTGAGGCCCAGCAATCTTAAATACACAGTCTGATTCTAATAGTTACTAAAGGTTAAGAACAGTACATGTCAATAGTTCCTATGCCTCAGAAGGCCAAGGCAGGGGAATCCTAACTTTAAGGACAGGCTGGGCATCTTAGACCCCGACTCAAAACAAAACAAAAAGGCTGGGAGTTAACTCAGAGTACAGCCTGGGTCAACCCAAGTACTGCTAAATAAAATAAAACTGAAGATCTGGTACTTAAGCTGGAAATCAAAACGTCTGCCAGGCACCTGTAATCCCAGTGGCTAGGGAAGATGAGGCAGAAGGACCATCTCAGGTTCAAAGGCAGCCTCAGCAACTTAGTGAGTCCCTAAGCATCTTGGCAAGACCCTGTCTCAAAATAAAAAATAAGAAGGACTAGGCTAGAGAGATGGCTCTGGTTAAGCACCCCTGAGTTCAAGCCCCAGTACTAAAAAAAAATTAAAAAAAAAATCTTTTGAGTTGTCAGAATACAGATGGGAAGTAAAACTGAGAAACAAATAGATAAAACCATGAAAGAAACTCTGACCAAGTATATTGAAAAATCTTAGCATTTAATGAGTTAGAAAAAGAAAAAGCTTTCAGGAAAATGTAATCTACTTTGTCAGAATTTGTGCCTAAATTCAAGATGAGGTCTAAAAAGGCACATTACTTTCATTTTAAAGTCACTAGTAATCTTAAGAGTGATTCTGGTAGGTCAGTGGGGCAAATGGAAGGAGTAAGAAATGGCCAGGGTTATGAATAGAATACGACAAATTAATAGATAAAATAGACAGTCTTTTGGAAAATTTAGCTATAAAAGAAAAGAGGGAGAAACAGAATTGGTTTTTACAGCTGGATGTGGTGAAGCACATCTATAATAGCAATGACTTGGGAGGCTGAGGCAAAAAGATGGCAAGCTCCAGAAAGCCTCCAACACTTAGTGAGATGCTACCTCACAATAAAAAAAATAAGAAGGACTGGTGATATAGCTTGGTGGTAAAGTGCCCTGGGGTTCCACTCCCAGTACCAGAAGGGGAGAAAAAATAGAAAAAAAAATTTTTTTTAAGGTGGAAGCAAACATTTAAATGCTGACAGGAATCACTAAGAAAGGGAGAAGTTAAAGACACTGAAGTTATTAGAAGAAATTATTAATTGTGTAAGATTACTAAGAAGTCTGGGATCCAGAAGCACAAGCCTGGGTGGGTACTTGAAAGTAGAAAATATCAAGACTAAATATATATGTCTATATATATAGATAGACACAGGTATGAAGCTGTATAACTTAAGGATATTTTTTCAAGACTATTAGCATCTATTTTCTCTGTAAGGTATAATGCGAGATTATTACCTAGAATAAATGGGCTGGAAGTCAGAAGAATGAATAAGTAGTTCACGTGGAATGCAGAAATAATAAATACAGACTGCTTTCCATACTCCTTAAGAGCAGGGATACCGCTTAGGTTTATTTCCCCAGTATTTATCACAATGCATGGCAAATAAAAGACCTTCAAAAATACCAAATATTGACTTCAACATCCTGTCTTTTGCAAATTGCACTGCTAAAATAAGTTCGTTTAACAGTACCTTGAATAATTTCTCAACTTCTTGGTCTATAATTACATTGAAACATATCCATAAGCTCAAAATATTTAATGGAAATTTAGTGGCTTAGTTTTTCTACAAAGTTAAATGTATTTCACTAATTAAAAAAAAATTATCATTATCTTAAATATTACATTTCTCAATCTTTGGGGGAGAAACTCATTATTCTAAAGTTATGTTCAGAGGCCATTTCTTACAGTTCTGTCAGGGAGTTTAAATACAGAGTGCTTTTATTCATGTAACACTATAGTGATTTGCTGAGGCTTTTCTTCAACTACTTCTTAACAGAGGCATTTTTTAAATCTCCTACCCTAAAGTAGTAGTATTTGCGTTCTTTAATCCTACAAGGAAAGTAAGTATAAAACTCCTCAGCAAATGTAGTCTTCCTATGTACAAAATTCCCTTTCAAAAACAAAACACTACAAAATACTACAGATATTCAATTATATCTTTTGAAATAGTTTCAACTACTTGACATCAAAAACAAATCTCAAAATAGGTGAGCTCTTACAAGTTGATAAGCTTTTGTCAACAGGGGTGCTTGACTTTAGGAATCAATATATCAGATGCCTGTTGTAACTTAAAACCAGCCAAAGCATCAAGCAAATTATTACTAGTAATGCCGACACAAGTGGGTTCAAAGTCAGGAAACCAATGACTCCTTTGACACAGGAATAAGAAGTTTCATTAGGAAGCATGACAGTAACTCTCAGTCATCACTTTTTTCTTCAAAATTACAGAATTACAAAATAAACTCATAAATATGTGAGGTTTTAGAATGTTAAAAACCCTGCTATAGAAATGCTTCACTTTATTTAACTTAGTTTTTTTTTTTAAAGGCCAATGTTTCTTTGGAAACAGATTTTCTGAAGATTTATTAAAACATTAATTTCAGGGCTGGAGTTGTGGCTCAGCGGTAGAGCACTATCTAGCACCTTCAAGGCCCTCAACATTACATTAAAAAAAAGGTATTGTGTCCAACTACAAAAAACAAAATATTAAACAAAAAAACATTACTTTCATCACATGTTGCCAGTTATTTTCAGATTGGGAACAG